TGTGTGTGCCTGTACTGTTAGCATGTCCACCAAGAGCAGGACTGCTGTCACCAGCTCATGCCCAGACAGTTTCTTAAATCTTCAGCCAGATGTGTCGGCTCCCAAGCAGGACGCCTTCGTGGCGCTGGAAGGTATTTTGATTTATGTGATGTGACTCAGACTGATAACACCAGAGCCCCACAACAGACACATTCAGATGAATACTGTCACACTGGTGACGATCATGCTCTCTCTACTCTGCTAGAAAACCTATAGGAAGTGTAATGACAGTTTATTTTCTGTGTAGCAGCTTGTTAAACTTACCCTATAAATTTATCCACTGGTCATAATATGTATCCAATAACACTGCATCACATGTTTTTTACAAAATGGGCTTTGTTCAGGCTCACTTCAGGACATTGTTTAATTTGGTCTCACCCAATGGAAACGTATCCCTACAAACAAATCTGTTCCCATTCATACTGGTTTTTTGATTTAAATTCACATAAGGCTTACCATTTTCACAATAAATCTAGCAGAGTGAAGAACTTTTTGGAGTTCCCCCAAGCAGTATCTTGATACCGACTGTGAACTGGATTCAAGTCTAAATTAAGCAACTATCTAATTTATCACAACTTGACAGCTTGTTGGTTGGGATTACTGCAACCTAAAATGTAATGCCAAGGCCTTTGAAAAAAACCAAAGAACAAAACTTGTGTTTTGTAGCCTTGTAGTGAAAGTTATATTTTTGCTATTTGCTTAGTGAAAAAATCTGAAAAGAAATGAGACACCCAGTCTCACAGTCGAAGAGTCTACAGCATAGCAGCTATGTATACAGTGGTGTGATGACATAAATGCTAAGTTCTATTGTACAGGGTAAACATGCACACAATGACCAAGCAAACTGATGTTAGGAGGGAACTGTAAACCAACTTAAACATCTTAGTTTAGCAAGTCAACGTACTAACAGTTGCATGATACACAAAGTGCAGTGGAGGTTGATGAGAATGTCACTAAATACTGTACTTTGATTTGTCTAATACTGAAATTTTGGGGGGAGGTGACAATGGTTGTGCTTGATGAAAACCTAAAGAATCACCAGTGTACAGTAAACAAAATTAATGTCAAGACTATTGTGACAATTCTACACTAAACTGCAAATTCTCACAGAACCTCACTGTCCATTTTCTTGATATCCAGCCATACAAGTCACACATTAAAAACAATAAAATATACACACAAAATCAATATAAATCAACTCATATTAAAAACAGCAACCAGATCACCTGTTACACACATTTAAACTGTCAGGTACTATATAAAAGCAGATTAAATTGAGATAAAGGAATGAACGTAGCCAGTTTAGTTTTTTCTGCAAACCCAATCTATATTATCTCTGTCTGAGGCATAACGAATAACTTGATTTAATCAGCTGACAGTAGTTTTAACAGCTTAATTATGATTCCATTTATACGGCTCATTCAAGACAGGCTTTCCACATTATGCTTTGCTGTAATCTTGTTTCATTCATTCCATCATGGATATATACATCTACAGTACAGAGCAATGCTGAACTACTATGAAAATAAGTGTGCACATGCAAATAATCAGCATGTTGTGTTTGATGAAAATATTGTAGCTGATCAGACAGATAATGTTTAAGAGCTTTTATTTTAATCATAATACCTACAAGTCAAACTACAGAATACCAGACACGCCTTGTTTAGGTCCAAACATCAGTGTGTGCTGTGTTGTGTTGCTTTTGCATGCCAGTGTCCCAGTCGACATAGTTTGGCATGTATACACACGTCCCTCTGTTGTATGCTGTCATCAAACATCAGCTCAATAAATCTCAGTGCAGCTTACAGAAGTAATAAGACAGCTTCCTGTGTGGCAGGAGAGCTGACTAGATGATTTAGGAGTTGAGGCTAGCAACAGTAATTGCTCTCTTAGCGATGTTTAGGGGTCTGAACGACTGACTATGACATTGCAGCACACCCTTTTTACCACTGGCTACAATCACTGGTATATGTAAAGCTGTGATCTGCTGGCCCAGTCTAGATAGGCCAAACCAAACTGCACTGCTTCATCCAGCTCTTTTACAAACACCCGCATCCCCTCAGATAAAGGCCGCTACAGCAGCCATGTGTATTGAATTTAGACCATTCCTCAGGGTATCCTGTTCTTATCAGGGGTCAGATAAGCTCATTTCACAGGCCCTCACCTCTACTAGGCTACCAAAAGGACCCCACTCTGACAACAGCTGACCTCATCTACTCTTTCTCTCTTTGCCATTGCATGAAAAGTCGAGGAGGGAGGTAACTCGTTGACTGAATCTTTCTTACTACAGTTGTAGCAAAATTAAGTATGAAGTCTTTAGATCTGTGAAACAAACAAGACAACCTTGACATTCCTGGTGGGGAGTATTCAGACAGCAGTCTCAGTCCCAGTGCTGAGTCAAAATTAAAATGTGTCTATGCTCTGAGGTGTCCTTGCAGAAGAAAGTGTTGTCTGCAAACAGTACGTTAATGTGGCAAATGACAGAAAAGCATACAACCTCATCTCAGCACGCTTGTTCCCATGGTGGTTTTTGTGAGCCTACCATTAGGCTTAGTACATGGTTTCAGTGGGTCCTTGGAAGGCCAGATGAGATAGAAAGCATCGACATCTATCAGAGCTGTCCGAAGGCTCACCTTAGCTTATCAGTCTGAGGGCCCCTTTTTCAAGCCTGCTGAGGATCCCTTCCGCAGCCACCGCGCCCTGTTCGAGCCCCGCAGGCATCTCAGACTGACAGCTATTGAGCCAGATACTGTCAGTACAACAGAGCAGTTATAATTGGCCCCTATTCATTTCGCAGAGATAATCCTCACCAAGATTGAGCCTTTTCTGTTCCTAGCGTCATTTTTCCGCTAATGTTTACACAAGGTATGTATTGGTTTCGCCTCCTCCTGAGGCTTTTGCTCCGGCTGTGGGGATGTATACCCAGCATGTGTGTTTTAACATGTGTTTGAGGGTTCTACTCTTCCAGCGAGGCTGCTAGGGCTCAAAACCTGAAGTGACAGACTTTGTGAATGTCTGACTCACAGACAACTGTCAGTGTTCAATGGGTTGGATTAAGACAAAGCATAGAACCGAGCGCACCCTGACATGTTGACATGTTCTACTAAGTGCATTTCAAGGTGGATTTAGCCTGTTTGCTCCATTGTGTGCTGGCAGAAGAGACACAATTGCTAAATGGGGCTGACTACTCTTGAGACGGCGGGTGAACTTTACTCCTGCTGTCTGGGTTCAGACTGACACTGGCTTCATTCTCAGGGTGAGTGAAGCTGCTGTGGATCCTAAGGAGGTTCAGGGGTTTCAGAGAGCTCTGTCCTTAACCAAACAAACACAGTGGAATTTCTACCATTGTTGGTGCAGAGAGTTGAGTGACAGGGCTACATAGCAGAGGTGCCTGTCAGCAGAGACAACTCAGGGTCAAAGTGTGACCACCCCTTGTACCACTGCTTAATATTAAGACTGAGCCATGTAGCATAGCTCAAGGTAAACCTGAACAGATGTACACAAGAACATTTTTACACTGACACCATTAGCGGTTCTCTGGAGTTTGGACATCCTCATACTGTTGTGAAAATGCTTTTTTGTAATTGTTAGTTGTTCATAATTAATTGTAATTTTAACTTTAGATTTTCCTTAAAGAAGCCCTGTGATAGACCGGCGACCTGTCCAGGGTGGACCCCACCTCGCCCAGTGTCTGATGGGACAGGCTCCAGCTCCCTGCGACCCTATTTCAGGAATAGGATTTACCTTAAAGAAATAGTTCAACATTTTGAGAAATGGAGTTAGAAAAGACTGATACCACTCTCATGTTTGTACAGTTAATAAGCTAATGGCAGCAACTGGCTGAAAGTAAAAAGTTCATTTAGAGTATTCATTTGTTGCCTGGCAATCTCGCTAATCCAATGGTCCCAGACAAAAACAGTCCCATACATAACTCAACATATTTGTTTTTCTTTTGGACAGAGCCAGCTAGCTTCATACTTGGCACACATTGCCATGTGTAGATGATCTTCTCTTCCGTTGCACCTTAACCAACAGCATTTATACTCTATATTTTTATGCTTTTTTGATGCATCCTAGTTTTATTTTTCTATAATATACACAGTCCAAATAAGGAACTCTTTAAACACACGCATGCTGTATGCCTACAATACTAGTCAGAAGTTTGGACACTTTCCCACTCAATGTCCACAAAGCATGTCCACACCTTCGGCTGGCAGCGTATGGATACGTGCATATGCACATGAATACACCATATGGATTCAAGCAACCATTTATGTCAAACACAGAACACTTAACCAGTTGGCATCATTACTTTAATTGTGACAATCTGCATTCCAGTGTGTTATTACTTTACATATAAATTATGTATAACAAAGCTTTTATGGAAAATTGCAGTTCTCTATTTACAGCTACTGAAGTTGGCGGGCGGGTGACATCAGGCCTGCACTCCCCAGCTTTGGGTTTTAATGCAGGTCATCATTAGCTGGCCGACCTGAAAGCTGAACCCTGACCCCCAGTAGGACACAGCTGAGACTCACTGGTGTAAAGGTCTGATCATTAACAATGAACACAAATCATTCAAATTTGACAGATATGACACAAAAAAGCAGCTGTACTGTGTATACAATAACCAAGCAGATGAGAGTAAGAAAAAAGGAAGTGGAGAGTAAAAAGCAAACAGACATTACAGTTCCACTGATGGCCTCAATGACTTCCCTGACATTGCCTTGGGCCCACCCTGGGGTCTCTGAAGTGGCTCGTTAAGCACAGGAATACAGACACTATTACCCCGGGCAAACATGCTGCCGCTGCTCATGTTGTGTTGGTTGGCTGGTTCTGTCTGTCCGCTGCCCATCCCACCCCCTCCCACCCACAGGCCCATGCCGTGCCGCACCACAGCATGTG